ATATCAGATGAACCCCTGGGTTGCAATCCTTCAGCCTGAAACCGAAGAAAACAACCAATCTCTTCCAATGCTCCGTTGCTAAAACTTCCCCCTTACAATCCACAATCACAAAAACAGCGACGGAGACGCGGTGAAGGAATCGTACTTCCGCCCTCTCAAAAGAGGCCGATTGACTGAAGTGTCCCGACGTTCTCGATGCGCTGGCTGTTTTGATGAAAGCAAGCTAAATAATAATTAGCGCTGCAAGCAGCCCAGGCCTATATGAGCGGACTGGCATGTTGCTAATCTGGCACGGTGGGGTACCATGGGGGTCTGCGTAAGTGACTTTTGTATCCTCGTTAGGCGTAGCAGTTGCGGTTTTGAGCAACAGAGACAAAAACTGCCATTTAAGGGAGGGAGGTGAAGGAGAGAAAAGCTGACTTGGAGGAGGTTGGTGTGCTGGCGAGGGTGGGGGGTGGAGTCTGTCACTTTACATTTGGGTATTGGGTACGCACCAGAGTGGGCTAACAGACAAACAATCTATCTTTATTTCACCCTGCTCAATGCCAATCGCGGTGATTGGAGAAAATTGGATTGTCACCCGCCGAAAGTGTTTTTCTGCCCGCCTCAGATTCACTGTCCGGGGCTTTCCCTTCCTTCACCTGGTACATTTTGAATGCATCTTTTGGTCTTTTTAAATGTCAATTATTAAAGGAGAAGTAAAAAAAAAAAAAAAGAAATCTTCACTGTAATATGTTCGAAGTGCCCACAATTAGTCTGACCAGGGCATTCTGATTAATATTTCAGTGACGGAATAGGATTTAAGCGGCAAAATCCACCCATGACTGTCCATCTCAGGGGGCGGCCATTTTGCCAAGGACTGTCTATTAGGCCCGGTGATGTCATTTTCAGTCGACAGCAAGTGGAAACATGGTCGCCACCTGAGATTGATAAAAAAAAAAAAAAAAAAAATACAGCTGGATTTTGCTGCTTCGTTTTTCCATATTCCACAAACGCGACATTAATCACAAGACCATGTTTATATCCGGCGGAGCCGCATTGAGCGTATCCTGGAACAGAACACTTTTGACTTGCAGATTTGGTCTTTGAGCCGAAATTGAAGTCACAGAAATTGGAATGAGGTACTGAGTTGAGAAAGACAACGGAGGAAAGGAAAACAAAGTCATCAGCATATATCACCCCCCCCCCCCACTTCAAAGCTATGGGTGGCTTTTGTGGTTTTCCAACTTCCAGAAGCTCCAAAATGCCTTCGTAAGCCCCTAATAACATTCTTGCAACAGCCTCATTACCCTCCCCAAACACTCTCATGCAGCTGACATGCATCCTGTCAAACTCCGCTGCCCCCATCGCTGGTTAACCACATAAATCCGACAGGATGGATGGTCTCGATACCTCGGGGAAAGTGGATCGGACCGGTGGTAAATAAATAACCAATGGCAGGGAAGCAAAAAAAAAAAAATGATATCCATAAGAGTTGTGTCAGGCTGGTGGTCTGCATGAAATCCCACAGCGCGTTATTCACAGACAGGAAAAGACTGGGAATGAGACCGCGTCATTTGTTCATTTGGTTCGAGTCATATTTCAATAAATCATGCCGGGATGGTGAATGAGTGGATGTGTCTGGACTCTTGATGGTTGCCAGGAGACAGTTTTAGTGGCTGGGCACAAACTGAACTTGGCCAAGGGGTTGGTTATTCCGTGTTCAGGGGTCAGAAGAATCGATATACAGTAAGTCTCTGTGATTGCGCATTGGAAGCAAGCAAAGGCTAATACAACTTTTTTTTTTTTTTTTAACAGTCATTTTGTACTTGGTTAAAAAAAAGTGAATGTCTGCAGCAATTACTTTAATGACTTTGCAAAAGTGCATTCCAGAGGAGGGCAAGGGTAAAGAGAGCCCTCGATGGCAGCGCAAAAGGAACGACCGAAATTGAATAGCTTCGTACAACTCATCATGGAAATGGCCGTTTCGTGCAATCGTTTGGAATATTAAAGACTCGCTGGTCGTAAAACATAATTAAAACATCATAGTGCCGTGAAAAAGTAGTTGGCCTCTTCTCAAATTCGTACGGAATGTTCTTCAATTTTTAGATGGTGATTTCATGGATTAAGAAAAGAAAAAAAAATACTATTCTAACCTACACGGCCTTCGGCAGCAAGAACTGAAATGAACCGTGTGCCGTGAAAAAGTAGTTGGCCTCTTCTCAAATTCGTACGGAATGTTCTTCAATTTTTAGATGGTGATTTCATGGATTAAGAAAAGAAAAAAAAAAGACTATTCTAACCTACACGGCCTTCGGCAGCAACAACTGAAATAAACCGCTTTCTATAACTGGCAAGGAGTCTTTCACATCTCTTTGGGGATCTTTTGGTCCACTCTTCCTTGCATAATTGCTTTAATTTAGCAACACTGGAACAATGAGATGCTTCAAATGTGGAACAATATTTGCCTAAAAATGAGATCGGTCGCACTGCCACTTGTAAAATAAATAAATCGGATGTTACCGGGTTGGCGCTGGGTCATGAAACTTCTTAGCCAATGTGGCTAAACCGAATAAAAATCTCCGAGCCACACTTAAGTGTAGTTAGCCAGAACATCAGGTCGCACTGCCACTTGTAAAATAAATAAATCGGATATTACCGGGTTGGCGCTGGGTCATGAAATTTCTTAGCCAATGTGGCTAAAAATCTCCTAGCCACACTTAAGTGTAGTTAGCCAT